AGTTTTTAACTCATTACCTCCTTATAAGCAGGCAGGCAGTTGACATAACTTCTTGGGAAGAATTCTTCGGAGAATTAACGGACAGTTGAAAAAGTCGCCGAGAAGAAGAAAGCAGAAATATTGGGATAGTTAAGTCCGCCGGGTAAAAAATCCTCGAAATGGCCTGTTATTTGACTTATAAATTCGTCTAGCATTTCTCTCTTGTAATATTTACCTGTCTTAGTTTTAACCTTTTAGCGACTACTGACTTAAATGTCTTTAAGTTTATAACAAAAGAATAGTGAATCTTATGATCTGGTCTGATAACTGTTCCACTTGATAATTTATTGCCATCATGGTGCATGAATGATAGTATTTATACTTTAAAGACAAAAACTAAAGACTAGTGGTTATGAAAAAAACATATAAACTCATAATTAGCTGTCCTTATCTCGACTAATTTATCTTTCGTTAATACACGGGACGTATTAATATAGGGACGATCGACAGTACGGATAAGGAAAGTGTGTAACATTGCAAAAGGGTTAGTTACTTATATGACCGGCCGTCAGTCTGTAGCTAATCGTCTTCAGGGACGCAATAGTTATCGAGTAAGCCAGGCTAAGAGTTACCACGCATCAGGGTTGGAACTTTGGGACGCAAGTTTATACACGCGAATTAAAATAAGCAACGCTACGCTATCCGTGGTCACATAATTATATGTCATGGAAAGCAAAAGTTTAAAATGAGAGTGCGCTTGAAACAGGGGTCGCGAGCCGTATGTTCATATAATATCTACACTAACTTTAATATTCAAATAGTTTTTTTTAAATATTCATAATACAATTTCTTTTGAACAGAATTTTCCCCAGTGTACTTTAATATTTAGACAGGCCGCATCTTCGGTGGGTTTGAACAAATTATAAAGTAAAACTAAAAGTTTATGATAGACGAAGAATAATTACTTTTAACGAGACGTGACGTCTTTTTTATCAGTCTTCTTTATCAGACAAAAATCTTTATGTTGTCGTATTCCTACAGCAAAATCGGCCGTAACTCGTAATTGTTCAGCAAAATTCAGGTAATGCAAGGAACCTACGTTTAGTAGTTAAATTAGACTTGTTGATAATGGCATTTACTCGTACCTTAGTTAAAGGTACTGACTTTTAGGATATGTTTAAGAATTGTTTTAGAATGTTGTTGTGAAAGTTATTAAAAAAAAATCATTTAATTATTTAACACCGGCACATAAAATTTACCATGATACGAAACTATTTAAAGTTGCACAAATTAAAAAAAAGATATTAAGATATGTATTTTAATCCAAAAAATATAATCTGTTTGTTGTGTCAAAATAATAAGTATTTTTCATGCTCACACAAAGCGTATAAGACTTTGATATTAGAACAGCAAAAAGTCTAAAAATAGATATAATTATTCATTGTACTAATCCCCTCTAATCCTTTCTACGATATTGACTGTCTGCGAATACCTAAATTAATTGATTCTGGTACTTATCCTTAGCGAGACATCGATGGTTCACTCTCGGTCAGTCCAATTAATTGGCGACTAGGGTATTAATAAAACTTTTATGTCTAATATTAAGCGCTAGTCTTATTAATACGACGTTTGCAAAATCTGACCTTGTGTATATGTCATAAGGTATAATTTGTTTTAGAGAATGTAGGATTGAAGCTATAATCAATGTTCATTAATCGGGTTTAGGGAAAGGCGAATATTTGGTCATTCAGTATTCCTTCTTCGAGATTTGGTTTCAGTGCGTTAGTTGATCAATAATTTAGTAGGACTTTAGGATCAAAATTTATTCGTTTTTGCTTTTAAGGCTTTCTCACATGATTAAAATTCAGTTATTTATTTTGTGTATTCTTTTTTTTATAATAAATTAAATGCTATAATACAAAAACCGAAACCATCGATATTGATACAAAGAATGCCTTGTTATTTTTTTTTTGTTAATACTTATAGCAAATGCAGCACTCACGCACCTCGTGGTTTTGAAAAAAAAAACATATTTTTTAAACGTTTCCCTTTATCTTTTCTATAGGGCGTTTAATAAATAAAGCATAACATTTGGATTTGCTGTTATGTAAAATAGCAGTTGGTACTCTTTCTCTCTTCAGCATATACTTTCATTGCTAATTCAACAATGCAGATAATAGTCATCATTTAAGTTCACTGCCGCCTGGGGTCGAAATGTTTGACTCTTGAATCATAATAATCTAGGGTTTACACACACGGCACTTATTGGGTAATAAAATTAAAGGCACCGCTATCTGAGTTACTCCATTTCTCTGATGTTTGAACTTAAGAAGCTTAAGTTGAAGGAAATAATGTTAGAGCAATAATTTTAATAAGATAAAATAATAAAATAAACATTCTAACCAAGTTCTAACAAAACAGACGGTTCTCTTATTCACTGACGCGGTAACAGAGTGAAATTTAAAATTCAAGACAGAAGAACAGACAGAGAAACAGAAGGATGGCTTGACTTTTAAAAATGGAATGAAATAGTCAAATACTATATGTGTTTAAATAATCTAGATTCTTTCCTATCCTAAATCCATGTGGTGACGGATTAAGAATACGGAGTGTTACTAACCTTATTCATCCCGTGGGTGTCGTAAGAGAGAGACAGCATTGCAAAGAGTAGAAAAACTTGAAACAAACCCAATAGCAACCCGTCTGGTCCGCATATATAGTAGGCCAAAACTTCATTGCTAAGGAGAGGTTTATGTCCAGCAGTCTACAATTAAAGACTTTTAATGATGCTGATGATGATACATATTTGTTAGAGGAGCTGTTTGTGTATTAATGTGTCCTTTTCACCATTTATTACAATAGCAAAACAGTTATAAAATATTCATAGCAATAACAAATACCCGACTTGTCACAGTACTTTTGCATGCACGGTGAATCCCCGCCCGTTCCCCAGAGACCACTCTCTGATTGAACAAGGAAATGTTGTCAGTCCCATGCTAAGTACGATGTACTATTCATGACGTTCCGAGCTTGTCCTAAAATAATAATTAACTTTATAAAAAGAATCGTAATATGTAAATAAATTGTATGGGTCATATAACCTTTAGAGGTGATTTTAATCTAACTTGATTTTGTCCTAGCTCTATTATTATTTTTCAAATTTTTAGACTTCCCAATCGGAGAGGAATTCAATTCTGATCTACTCGACTTATCTTACAATATCTAATCCATCCGTATAAGTAGGTACGTGTAATTTCGCTTTTCTACTACCATTAGGCAAGGCATTCCTTTGTACCATTCAAAGTGCCTTATTGACGGCTATAGGTTTACCATCTATGATGAAAGTCGGATTAAAATTACAGGCGGCAAAATGTGAGCGTTTAATAAGCCTATGCTTACCCCTTCGAGAATTCACAAGTGAGTGTACGTATGTATAAAACTGTAACTTTATATTAATAACAAATCTTATTTGTGAGCAGAGATTTAGACCATTTAACAAACCTCTGTTTACAATGTCATCATCATTAACAGCCTTTCATAATCCACTGCTGGACATACTCGTAGGCCTCTCCTTAGAAAGGAGGGTTTGGCCTACTATACCACGCTGGCCACACGGGTTGCTATAGGGTTTGTATTAAATTTTCCTTCTTTTTGCAGTGCTTTTGTCCTGCGTAGTTTGCTCCCTTAGTTGGCTCTTACGACACCCACGGGATGAATAGGGGTGGTGACATTCCGTATTCTTAATCTGTTTTCACACGGACCCGGATTAATATCCATCCATAACTAATGGTCTGAGCCGAACTAATTTCGGTCTCGGTTTTCCTACGCGATTTAAGATATGTCTTACTCTTGCACTAACTCCTCCAAATAGCACCCAAGCAATGTCTTACATTACCAAAGGGTTTTGAGCTGGTCATTGTTACATGGCCAAAAAGCCAAACACATTCTATTAATTCGTTTACTTTTTATAACTATTGAAACCTTTTTTGCATAAGCCGCCTTCAATAACATCATCATCTGCCTACTCTTATTACAATTGTATTTGGGGTCGTCGCATTCAGTTTGATTCTTCCATTCTACATTCCTAGCCATATCGTCACTCACACAGTCCTATCACCTATTCTTTGGTCTCTCTTTTCTCTTGTACTCTTTAAGTCCCATACCTAACACATTTCTTCGTTCACCCTTTCATTTCACTTCGCCACATTTTCTTCATCTCTCCCCATGAGATGTCTAAACCTAGGTAACCTATTACTTCTTAACTTTACATCCAGGGGCGCTACTTTCATACTCCCTTGTATATACTTATTCCTGACCTTCTCCATCCGACCTACCCCACACATCCATCTCAGCATTCGCATATCGGCTACGTTCAGGAGTTTCTCATCGGTGCTGTTAATAGGCCAACTTTCAGAACCATAAAGGACGGCAGGTATGATGATAGTTTTATAAATTTGTCCTTTTAATTTTGAGGGGAAAGTAGGGTCACAAATTGTTCCCTTTGTAGCTGCCGCCACCATAATTATATTTTTTATTTTATTTATTAAATTGTACCATTTGATACGAGCTTGAAGGTATATCTCATTACACCAATTATTAAATTATATTATTATTAATATATTCAAATTATTTATTTCGAACTAAATCAATTATATAATGTTAGTTTGTTTCGGTTTGCCTCCATCTTGTTAGTCAACCTTAAGTTGAAATACAACAACAAAGTACACACTTTGTGGAACAACTTTAAACTAAGTTAGTAAAATATAAATAAAATCTGTCAAAACTATAATAGTCTTTCAGTATACTGCCTCGGTGGCGCAGTGGTAGCGTATGCGACTGCTGTGCTGAGGTCTCGGGTTCGATTCCCGGTTCAGACCAAATGTTTGTATGATCTACTAATATAAAGCTTTTTTAGTTAGTTTGAAACTAGATGGCGTTGTGTGTTAGATGTCCAAATATTATTATTAGTATTTGTCATCATTTAAATAACAGCTAACTAATACTATATTAAGCATTTACAACTATTCAATCTTCTCTCTCTCCTCCGTGCCAGTATCAGTTCCAAAGTCATCCCAATAGACCTTCACCAACTTGGCGACCTTCGTGAGGAACCAGTACGTAAGGAAGATCAAACCAGCTACGTCTATGTGATATCTTTCTATCATGTTTAACTGCAGTGCAGGAGACCGGAGATGGGTTGCTCCTCCAGTTGACATCACCAGCTCCACCCAGTACCTCAACTCTTGGCTCGGCGGTACCAATGGTCGATGCAATATGGATGACACTTCTTTGGCGTTGGTTTTGTATCTAGGACAAAGAATGTTCATTAATTAACTAAATTAAATTATAATAACCTTGTACTATATTAAATTATAGTCCCAACTTACGTAGAACATATGATTAACCAGACTGCTGATAAACAAAACTTACGTATGTTAAATTGCTAAACATGATTTTTAGTTAAATTATACCCACAGAAGATATGGATTTGAATTATTTTTCTGTAATACAGTCACATACCTAATAAAGTTTAAATATTTTAAAGTAAATACCATAATTGTAACTTGAATTAATCTTTTTTTTTCTGTGCGGAAATCCCCTCGGATACCACTTACCGGAATGTCGGACTCGAACCGATTAAAACCGCACGCCGTCTCAGGTACCAATAGTCGGGGAACCAGGTGTACCCTAGAAAGGAAATCCCTTATGCCCGACTTGAATTACTCCTATGAGAATATATTTATAAAAATGTTGAGATGGTTTGTGTCTCAGAAACTCAAAAAGTACTTCACCGATTGAGCTTAAATTTTAACACGACTTACAACCCGATTCAAGGTATTTTTTTTTCGCGTTCGTTTTGTTCCCCATTCCTTATCAATGCAACCAAAAAGTGATACAGGCCACAGCCACGCGTAGCAGGGTATAGCTACTATTTTATAAAAAAGTTAAAATACATATGTTAAGTTCAATCGAAAACCATTCACTAAAAATCTTTAAGATTAACCCAATAACAAAGACCCTACGTTGCCCGTTTTGGACGAAGAAATAAAATGTAAGATAAATCAGCATAATAATATATCTAACACTTTTGCCGAACCGCCATCGAAATGGTACCGCGACGCGTCTAGATAACGGCCGCTGTAATCTTCAGATTGATGGATCGCTCGCATCCAAAATAAAATATCAGGAGATATTCTTATAATAAAACAGCGGAACAAAATGTAGATACGTGAACAGTCCCCGGGGACAAAAGATGGAGTCGTATATTATATGAAGCATTTAAGGGAGAGCTGTAACTTTTTTGTTTGTAACCTTGCTCAAATTATGACGAAACTATTCCCTTGAGGGAATTTGAATACATTATATACATTGTAGATATAATGTCTTTGTTATTTTCAATGACGATTATACAATGTAATAACATCATCATCATCAACAGCCCTTATAGTCCACTGCTGAACGAAAGCCTCTCCTTAGAAAGGAGGTTTTGGCCTACTATACCGCGCTGGTCAGACGGGTTGGTATAGGGTTTGTGTCCCCCCCAGGACGGACGCCAGGGGCGAGGCCGTAGAGGAGTGGGCGGCCTCGGTGGGCCTCTGTCTTCTAAACAGAGGCTCCACCAACACGTGCGTGCGACAGCAGGGGGGGTCGATAGTGGACCTTGCGTTCGCTACCCCTGCCCTCGCCGCACGAGTAAGGAACTGGTGTGTCCTGGAAGAGGTTGAGACGCTCTCGGATCACCTGTATATCCGATTTGAGCTCTCCCGGACTCAGGACTCCAGTAGGGGTCACGTGGCGCGGCGTTTATCCCGCTTTCCGCGGTGGGCTGTTGCCAGGCTGAACCGGGACCTACTAGAGGAGGCAGCCATAATTCACTCGTGGCTGTCTCCTCAGGCTCCGACCGAGGAGGTCGACGTGGGGGCTGGCCGCTTTCGCGATGCGATTACGCATGTATGCGATGCGGCCATGCCCCGCGTTCGAGGTCGTCGGCCTCCAAGGAAGGAGGTCTACTGGTGGTCCCAGGAGCTGGCGGACCTCCGTGCGGCCTGTACACGTGCCCGGAGGTCCTACACGCGCAGTCGGCGGCGTCACCGTGGAGACGGTGAGGAGGACCGGCTTCATGAGGAGTACCGACGGGCGCGGAAAACTCTGAAGCTGGCCATTAGCCGCGCCAAAGAAGAAAAAAGACAGGAGATGCTGGAGGGTCTTAATCGTGACCCCTGGGGTCGCCCTTACCGCGCGGTGTGACAAAAGCTCCGCGCGTCGGGCCCCCCCCTTACGGAGACTCTCCAGCCCAGCTTCCTGCGAGAAGTGGTTGAGGGCCTTTTCCCACAACGGGCGGAACACACTCCCCCGTCGATGGCCTCCTTGGCCGGAGACGACGGGGAGCACGGGGAGGATAATGTTCCGCCCGTCCGGGAATCGGAGGTAGGGGCGGCTGTTCTACGGATCCGTTCCAAGAACACCGCCCCTGGGCCAGACGGGGTACCGGCCCGAGTGCTGGCCCTGGCCCTCAACCACATGGCAGACCGCCTCGGGGAGGTGTTCGACGCTAGCTTGGCGTCGGGACGCTTCCCTGAGTGCTGGAAGAGCGGGAAGCTGGTCCTATTGAGGAAGCCGGGACGGCCTGCCGATTCGGTCGCGGCCTATAGGCCCATCGTGCTGCTGGACGAGGCGGGCAAATTGTTTGAGAGGGTTCTTTCTGCCCGCATCGTCCGGCACCTCTGCGAGGTGGGCCCCGATCTGTCGGACGCCCAATTTGGTTTTCGGGCGGGGCGTTCGACGGTCGACGCCGTGTTGCGCCTGAGGGTCGTGACCGAAGAGGCCGTGAGCTGTGGCGGCGTGCTATTGGCGGTGTCACTGGACATCGCCAACGCATTCAATAGTCTGCCATTCAGCTGCATCAGGGAAGCACTCCACTATCATGGGGTGCCAAAGTACCTGAGGCGGCTAGTGGCAGACTATTTAGAGGAGCGTACCGTCGTGTACGAGGACCGAGAAGGTAATTTGAGGTGTCGGCCCATGTCGTGCGGTGTTCCACAGGGGTCTGTTCTTGGACCCCTCTTGTGGAACATAGGGTACGACTGGGCCCTTCGCGCCGATTTCCCCCCCGGGCTGGGTGTAATCTGTTACGCAGACGATACCCTCGTGACAGCCCGGGGGGCAAACTTCCAAGAGGCGGCGCGCCTGGCCACAGGGGGAGTCTCCCTGGTGGTCGGGCGCATTGAGGCGCTGGGCTTACGGGTGGCCCTAGATAAGACGGAGGCCCTGTTATTTCATGGGCCCCGTCGTGGTCCACCCCCTGGCGCCTCAATAGTGGTCAACTCGGTCCTCGTACCGGTTCGGGCCCAGATGAAATATCTGGGCCTGATCCTCGACGGGAGGTGGCTCTTCGACGAGCACTTCCGACAGCTTGCTCCAAAGCTGGTCGGCGCTGCGTCCGCCCTAGGGCGACTTCTGCCCAATATGGGTGGACCCAGCGTCGCGACAAGACGGCTGTACACGGGGGTTGTCCGGTCAATGGCACTGTACGGTGCACCGGTGTGGGCGGCGGCTCTGACCGCCCAGAATAGGGTACGCCTCTGGCGCCCTCAGAGGGTAATGGCGGTCAGAGCCATACGCGGTTACCGCACCGTTTCTACGGAGGTGGCATGCGCGTTGGCCGGAACTCCCCCGTGGGATTTGGAGGCGGAAGTGCTCGCCGAAGTTTATCGGCGAGTGGCTGACTCCCGGGCGGAGAGCGGATTTCGCCCTCCGCCCGAGGATGTGCGCGAGTGGCGCGAAGCCGCTCGCCGAGCCACGATGGCTCTTTGGTCGTTCCGGCTGGAGACTCCACGCGCTGGCTTCGCCGCCGTGGAGGCTCTCCAGCCGGTCATCGCCGAGTGGGCAGGGCGGCAGCACGGGACCCTTTCCTTCCGGCTGACGCAGGTGCTTTCCGGGCATGGTTGCTTCGGAAAGTACCTGCACACGGTCGCTAGGAGGGAACTGAGTCCCGCCTGCCACCACTGCGACTGCAGTGAGGACTCGGCCCAGCACACGCTGGCGGTCTGCCCCGCATGGGCGGCGCAGCGCCGGGCCCTCACTGCAGTCATCGGAGTGGATCTCTCGCTACCGGCCGTAGTACGCTCCATGGCCGGTAGCGACAGTTGTTTTACCGCGGTCGCAACCTTCTGCGAGGTAGTAATCTCGCGGAAGGAGGCGGCGGAGAGGGCCCGGGAGGACGACCTCCACTCGGACCCGATCCGCCGCCGGCGAACCGGGCGGCGGAGGCCCGCCTACCACAGCCTCATGCCGCCCTGAGTGTGGCCGCGGGTGGACGGGGTGGGTTTCCCCTCCACCCGCATTAGTTTGGCCAGCCGCGAGGGGGCGGCGTCCGCGTGTGCCGGACGTCGCCTAAAAAGAGAGGAAAACATCGAGACGGAGCCCGCACCAGGAGCGGGCTGGCGCTAGGAGGGGTCCGGATGTCTTAACAACAGCTGTTCCCGGATCCCTCCTGTTACAGGCGCAGAGTGGCACACCGTGTGGTTTTAGTCGGTCCGAGTCCGACACACCACCCCGCCGTAAACCCCGGAGGGGTGACGGTCCGAGGGGATTTCCACACGTTAAAAAAAAAAAAAAAAAAAAAAGGGTTTGTGTAAAGTTTTCCTTCTCTCTGCAGTGCTGTTGTAGGCTTACAATGACATAACGTTTTATACTAAATGAGAGTAGCGTAATGGCTATGGCGTAATGGCTTCGGAAGTTAGCTACAGGAGTAATGTGTGACTCATTGTACTCAAAAATACAAAAGCATTATTGGCACTCTGCACTATTTATTTGATTAAAAACACTATACAATATGTTATGTGCAAAGGGTGGTAATTTAGCCGCCCTTTTAATTTGGTTGAAGTTGAACCGTGAATGCTTACAACTACAATTAACCTAAAAACGGTCCTCCAAACATATTTCAAACAATAAAAGTAAGGGAATCCACTTTTTTCACTTTCAAGGCCATCATTAATTCAATTCAAATCATCAAGAACAACAAAATGGTTATTCCCGTTGTTCGCTATTATATTGACGAGCCTGTTAGTCTAGTGGTTAGATATCCTGACCGCTAATCCAGAGGTCGTGGGTACGGTTCCCACACAAGACAAATTATAATATACGATGATACAAGGGCTTTACAGGCTGCTTATGTTAAGCACTTTTTTCGTTTTATTTCATCAAGTGAGTGAAATGAATTAGGTAACGCAGAAGCCAAACTTTACTGTCGTTGATTTAAAATAGAAAATATTTTAAATCAATGGCAGTTAAAGTAAAATCTTTTTTTTAGATACCGTTCTACTGGAACTCTTAATTTAATTGACAACTTAGACGGGCCTGTTGGTCTAGTGGTTAGTGACCCTGACTGCTAAGCCGGAGGTCGTGGGTTCGATTCCCACCCAGGACAAATATTGTGTGTAATGAGCACGGTCATAATTTGTTCTGTGTCTGTTTTTAAGTTATCTATAATATTTATGTATTTAGAAATATATAAGTACGTTTATCAGCAGTCTGGTTACCATAGTACAGGTTCTGCCTAGTTTGGAATCAGACGGCCGTGTGTGAGATATATTATTACTTATATAACTTACGTGATATTTCCAAGAACTTCATTAATAGCTTCTTTCAGTCTAAACGCCAATTTCTCAGTGTAGTGTACTTTGATGCCTCGACCTCTGGCAATAGCAACGTCCATCGTTAACAGTTGGTCACCAAACACCGGTATACCGATGAGGGGAACCCCGTAGAACATGGCTTCTATGTAAGTGAGGTAGGCAGCGTGGCTGATCGTCATTTTTACTTTTGGATGCTCTGTAATTTATTATACATTTAAACTAAACACTTTTCTTTAATGTTTTTTTTTTATAGCATAGGTCAAAGTGGATGGAAAAAGACCACGAGGTAGAAACCCGACACGTTGGACTGACCAGATCCGCACTATTCTCGACACCACAGTCCACGATGCTCTACACTCAGCGGCGGATAGGGGCGGGTGGCGTCGAGTGATCCACAGCAAACTTTTACTGCGAGGAAGCGGTCACGACCCTCAGCATTGAGGCAACCGAAGCGAGGAGGAGGAGAGGAGGGCAAACGAGCAAATCCCGGGAGGTTACATCACACCTAATGGGTGCGTTACTGCCCATGGAGTCCAATTCCCCAGAATCAGAAGGAGAGGTTTGTGCTCCGGTAACCTCACTCACTCGTTGAAAAGCAACTACAGAATTGCTTAAGAAGGGTTTTCTGTGAAGTTTGCTGGTGTTTCGCTGGTTAAGCCAGCCCTTTTGTGCCGGAGCGTGGCTCTCCCATCAATATAATAATAATAAAATTATGAATTTCACTTGCACTTCTTATGTTTGATGTTTTGCAAAGCTAATTTTTTATTAATAGTCTCAATTTCACCGTACATCTACATAAATTGATTGAGGCACTAAGTAGCTAGAACAAATGCCCATATACAAATCTAAGAATTTAATTAATATTTATAAATGTCACACAAACATTTTCGTTAGATACAAACAGTTTACAGAGTTTATAAACAAAATATTTACTTACTCAATAAAGCCTGCTGTGGTACCCACTCTACTATATGCACATTGGCTGGCACACGTTCCAACTTGTCTCCATACTTCCAAATGATATCTAGATCCACGTGGCGAAATACTTTTATCAGTTGTTCTAGCATCTCATCAGGAAGCTCCTCAGTGATGGTTGAACCAAAGTTCACATAAATAACTCCATCTTTTGAATTTTTCAATATGTCTTGCAATTCCTATGAAAAAATGCTATACGTAAGTAGAAAATAAAGTAGGCGGCAGACTAGACAAATAGCTTTTTATAACATTATACATCTTTATATGGGTTTTACTTGTATATTGGTATTTTAAACTTGACTTTAAAATCCTGTTAAATGTCTCACCATATTCTCAATTTTATTTGAAATTGATACTATATGCAGCATTGTAAATCACCCTACGGTAAGAGTAAGGTAAACGGCCCACCCACCTGACGCGAACCCTTTTTGGGAATGTAAACCTTAAACGGGACAAGGGCAGAAGATAAATTGAGTAAAATAAAGGAAAAAGGTGAGGAACCTCGGGTAAGGTTTATCTCAAGTCTTGGATGCAAAACTGGGCTGACAAAGTAATAGTCCAAAGTACCGCTCTGTGATTGTAGGTAGATGCAAGGATATCTAATTTTAAAAAAATACAGATTTATTTATGTTACTCGCCACCTTTTTTGGGATCTTAAAAATGTCAAATTAATGTCACACTAAACGAAAAGGGTCTGACAAAGAGAATGTGAAAGTAATATGTATCTGGTTGGTCTAAACGGTAATAAAATATGTTTACGAGTGATTCGACGAGTGCCATAGTGGACCATAAAGCGATGAGTTCTGCAACTAAATGGGGTCACGCTTCATCTAATCCACAAATGCTTGTATTTATTTATGTTTTCAAGAGCATAGCCACAGTGGGGCAGGGTGAAGCACTTACGCTACTCTGGATCCCATAATCGTTAATAAAACATTATGACATCAAAATAACTGTGCCTAATCGAAAGGTAGGATCTGAAGATAGAATAAACTACACTACAATTATTATTTCGTCCTTATTATAACTGATTTAGTCTCGTCGAATTTTTAACCGTCAATGAATTTCTGAAGTATTAGACGAGTAATTAATTAACTATCTGCACCTACAAGTATAACAAAATAACGAAACGATAAAATGGTAATTATTATAAACAAGTCAAGTTTTAAATACATTAAGCCAAAGTCCTTCCAAGGTTTTGCCAAAATAAATACTCAAAATAAACATTTATTAATTTTTAATTTTCTCGGTTACGCCTTACCTTAAAATCAAACTTGGCTTCGCTGTTTTAGTTACGAGTATATAAAGTGCCTTCTGCCAAAACACTGTTTAAAACCAGCTGAAATATGCATGAATCGTCCCGACCGAGTCTTAAGAAGGATATTTTCGTGTGAATACGTTATGTCATGGTCAAGGGATTAACGTTTGTATTTATATAAATAACTGAAATATTTTGATGTACGGAAATACACAAGGGCAAAAAGAAGGTTAGAGGGATATTTTTGTTTTACGCTGTCCACAGAATAAACGGAGCTGCCAAAAATGGTGGCCATAGTCCGCTAAGAGTTTGAGGCAATAGCTGAATCTTTCAGAGCTTATTAAATTAATTAGTTCGTCTCCTACGTGTGCATCAGTGTCGTTAGTCCCGTTGCTTTAAACTTATCTCTTTACCAAAAGTCAAGATCCATTTCAAACCATATTTATTTATTTATGGGCGGGATTATTCAAGTAGTTGTAAATTAATTAAATAATTAGAAACACTATTACTTTTTTTAGAGTGCCAATAATAGCTTACAGTTTTAGACCCGTATTATAAAAGACGTATCAAGTATCGGTTGTACTCTGATTGCCTAAAACTAGTTTTAAATGCAGATCAAAACTTAAGTTTCGACCTTATTTTAGAACGCGTTTTAAGTTTGACTCAGTTGAAACTAGTTTCAAGTATAGACTTGAACTTACAGTCTGTTCTCAATTACGTTTCCTTATGATCGACATTATTATTACGTATACATACATAGTTAAAAAAAAACTTTTACTAACATTATTTCTGTGAATTTGTATATAATATACTATTTGCTAGTGTTCCAAAAGCTTGCTGTTCGTAAAAATGAAAATATAATAAACATTAAAATAAAAATGACTAGATATAGGCTATTTAAACGGAACGTTCAAGTTATTTATCAACACTTGTCATGTTGAAATGTCAAACAATGTTTTTATTCTTATATTTCTAAAATTTATATTACTAGAATAATATTACACTTTTAACATACATCAAAAGGTTGTGGTGATTTTAATTTTAATAAGTATTGTGTATGTAAAAGACGTCTTCTAAAACGCAGGCTTAAAATGCGGCCCGTATTTTAATGGTTGAAGTACTATAATTTTGAATTTAACTCATTATTATTAAAAATCTGCCTACCTAAACACTTGAGATGACATAAACATTATTATCATAATTCGTGACATTACATTTGAATGCTGATCCGAATAGTTAAAAAAATAGTTAAAGTTTTGAATTGAAAGTACTAGGTTGCTATATTATCAAAAGTAAGTGCAAAGAGAAGGAAAACTTGAAAAAAACCCTATATCAACCCGTCTGGCCAGCGTGGTATAGTAGGCCAAAACCTCCTTTCTAAGGAGAGGCCTATGTCCAGCAGTGGACTGTTATAGGCTGTTGATGATGAACTGCATTTACTTTTATATTACCTACCTTACCTTTTTTTATTTTCATTCAGAGAGTGTCAAGTATTTAACGATGCTTCACAAGAGATTACACACGGAATTTTCGATAAATATCAGATAGTTTTTACGTAAAAACGGAATCTTTTCGGGATAACAATGGTATTTAATAAAAACCTAATGTATGTTTCCTATCCGAACTGTGTTGCATTTTGTATCGATAGTAATATTCCTCTACTGCTGATATAAGTATAATATTATGGTATTTACTAGTACTTTTCCTGTATTTTCTAATTCATCACTAGTCAAAAAAAAATTAGTACTTTGACGATATAAATACTTGAATAATTATGACCTTTACACGCTTTTTATATAACAGTAATAAATTGAGTTTATTTATTTAGTTGACTACGGATTTCTATTATATTAGTTTGATTACGGTAAAAGTTTCTAACCAACTTTTCAATTAAAACTTGTAATGAGTTACAAGAAAGTTTGTTATTTCTATAATGTTATTGACCTTTAAAGAAATTCAGTGCAACGAAGTTCTGAATTCGGGTTTTGTTCATGAACTTAGTCGGAAGGGGGGGTTGCGTCACTTAATACTGCTTTGCTGGCGTGAGCAGAGTTGAGACACAGTGATCTCTTTCTGTAAAGCTGTAATGCTCCAGAAATAGACCACTGAATGGGATCGGGAGAGAGCTGATCCCGATGTTCAGAGACGTCATTGGCGATATCAGCTATCGACGGGGCCCCGGGCCGGTAGTGAGTGGGGACCTTTGGTGGCAGATTAGGACGGCGGCCTGATCGTATTAAGAAGAGCTCGGATCGCCACGCCACCATTGAGGCGGGAAGTTTGGAGCTTAATCCGGAATAGGGCCTGGTTAGGCGTGGTGTCGATTTGGGGAGGACCTGAAATCACATGGTCCAGGTCCTCCAAAGAGTAGGGAACCCGATACTGGCCGCCGGGTTGGATTTTAGTGAAAGCACATACTTCTGGTTATTGCGTCCCCAAGGAGCAGGAAATCCGAAAGATTTTCCCCCCCATTAACAAAAAATGTGACAGTTTAACCACTGTGTCAAGTTTGCTTGAGTTAAAAAAATATATTAACTGCTTAATGTTTGCCTTAACTGTTTCTAAATGACGCTATTTGTTGCAGAAACCAGATACAAGCTCCTTTAAATCAAAAAGTAATAACTTGGTAGTCGTCCATAGTTGTCCGTGTAGTGACGGATTAAGAATACAGAATGTCACTACCCCAATTCATCCCGTGGGTGTCGTAAGAGCCGACTAAGGAAGCAAAACAACGCAGGACACCAGAACTGCAAATAGAAGGAAAACTTGACACAAACGTCTGGCGAGCCTGGTATAGTAGGCCAAAACCAAACACAAAACAAAACCAAAACAAGGCCTATGTCCAGCAGTCGACTTTTAAAGGCTGTTGATGAACTTGTAATCTTTTTTCTTTTACGGTTTCATATCATATGTTACTTGATACAGTCAAAAAAGACTTCTCAAGCATAATTTATTCCTACTTACTTAAGAACCGTTTAAATTATAGCCTCCAGCATTGTAAATAAATAACTGTAAATTAAGCCCACAGGATTCTTCTCTCACCTTTGTCAAGGGTTCAGCATTTCCTACGTGATGTACTCCAATATACTTAGCGTTGTTGGGCAGCGGCAAGTTTTGTCCGAGGGTTGGCTGTGAATTGATGAGCATCATGGCGCCGGAGTAGATAAGATCGTCGTATAAAGGCGGCGAGCGCCCGCGGAGCTGGATCGCGAGCTGATACTGCTCGTAGTATAGGGGAGTTTCTACGTAATGCGTCATGTAGCTGAAATAATTGAATAAATATAAACTGCACTAATATTAACAATAATAACTTCACACATTTCACACATGACAATCTGATACCGAACTAGGCAGATCCTGTGCTATTGTAACCAGACTACTGATAAACATACTCGAATATTTATAAATACATATAATGATCGCCAAGACACAGAACAAATGATCGTGCTCGTCACATAACTTTTTGTCCTGGGTGGAAATCGAACCCACGAAATCAGGTTTAGCAGTCAGGGTTACTAACCACTAGGCCAACAGGCCAGTCAATTAAATTGTTAAGTTTAAAATAAAGACTAAGCTATGGAAAATTCGATATCCACCGTGAAATTCGTCCTTATTATTGGCCACACATGTCTCTATGCGTGGTGCCCATTCTCTTAATAGTCTATGGTATATGTAGCACTTACTACTGGTATGCTGTCAAATACATCTGCTTCCAAATCCTTTGGGCCCTCTCGGTGACACTGGGTATCTCAGATGCTTTGTTGCTGGCTTGCAGGTCCGCCGCGTACGCTGGGTTGGGAGACTCATGCACCAGTTGCAGATTCATCCAGGTAGCATCTACTGGGCTGTACCAGATAAGAGGACACTCGAAGACTTCGGCTAACCTAAAACATAAAAGATTTTTCTAGGAACTATTGAAATAAAAGAACTTAGGAAATGGTAGTTCCAAGTTAACTCTAGGATAAATCTACTTATGCAAAACTAAATTATATTGCTCTAAATTTAATTAGCTATTTCATTTCTTTTATGTGGACACCCACTCAGCAGAGTATAATAAAAGTCAGGTCAAAAACTGCAACATAAAATGATAGTTAAAATATCCTTTAAACTTGAAAAAATATGACAACATGTAAAGTCCCAATTAATGTTCCACTAGAAAATATAAACGACAAAAATTGAAAAAATGTCGACAGAAATTCAAATTTGCTCATATCTCTCTTTTGTATTTTCTGTATCTGACTTTCTTGCAGTAAGTTGTAGCAATTTTTCAGTGATTATTCCCCATTATCAATCACAAATAAATTATCATTTAGATATTTTTAAAACACTCTGAGGATTACTTTCAATTTAATTCCAGAGCGACTTTGTATTTTTTGCCTAAATTACGACTTCACTTATCAAAGTTATTGTAAATATTTGATTCTTTTTTATGGAAAAGGGGGCAAACGAGCAGACGGGTCACCTGATGAACGGCAACTACCGCCGCCCATGAACGCCTGCACCTCAGCAGTCACAAGCGCGTTGCCAGCCTTTGAAGAAGGGGTACGCTCTTTTATTGAAGGTTTGAAGGTCGTATCGGTCCGGAAATACCGCAGCCGATAACTTGTTCCACATGTTGGTAGTGCGAGAAAAATATTTAATATTTCATAGGAATTCAATAGTATATTAAAAACTAGTTTCATTATATTAGGTAAGTAAGGAAGATACAACAAAGAAATGATTTCCAATTTTGAAAAAATAAATTTTGTAAAATGTAATTAGAATTTATTTTCCCGTATTTCGAAATGGCTATTATCGGCACGTTTGAGCACTCTTACTATCAAGAATAGTGTTCTTTTTTATGTTTTAGGGGGCAAACGAGTAGACCGGTCGCCTGATGGTAAGTAACTACCGCCACCCGTGGACCCCATGGGCACCGTCAACTCACGAATCACAAGAGCATTGTCGCCCTTTCAGTCCTCGCCCGATCCTCTGAATCAGGCGGCGGAGGGATTGGGCTATGGCTCCGGTAATCTCACCACACTCACTAAACAGCAACGAAAGGATTGCTTAACACAGGTTGTTTGTGAGGGCGTCGTATCATATCACTCCGGTCCAACCGACCCATTTGAGTTCCGGTCTAGTGCAGGTTGCAGAGCACTGTTGAACAACAGAATCAACAGTGGGGCGATTTATTAATAGAAATGAATGAGTAAAGTTACTGACCAGTATAGGCAGTTTATATAGGATCGCAATTATTATACTGTTACTTACGGAGCTAACAGCCCGCTATAGAACCACTCAGCCACCACCACGTCGAAAGTTACCGTCTTCATTCTCATTAGGAGCTGAACTTTCTCGTGCCTGAGTGCTCGGACTGCATACTTGGCACCTATCGTCAGCTCGTGGTGTGAGGGTAATGTACTTCGAAGTAGTTCTGACAATCGAGGTCTGTCACCATCTGAAATCGTACTCATATATTGTGCAATGGGAAAGGCCTATGTCCAGCAGTGGACTGCGATAGGCTGATGATGATGATGATGATGATATTGAACACTGTTTAATTGAATTGTTGACATGCCTACCTACCTACTAATTAACTGCTTTTTGCATAATTAATTGTTTTAAATATTTTTTTTCATCTACAAAGGCCATTTGTGGTCACTGTTTGTAATTACCTACTTATTTTTGTAATGTCCATGTTCTGGTCTCCTATAATTGAGGAAGCACAAGTCATAAAATTTTATATATATATTATTATATATCCAAATAAAATAAAATAAAACGGCGTGAGTTATCTCCTTTTGGGAGGACCCCCGGTCGGAACGAAGTTCCCTCCGCTTTTTGGCAGACGTTAGCTATACAGTCTGCTTTAAACTTAAAGGGTAAAAAAAAAGTTACACGGTCTCGCTCCGATAAGGAACTTTATTCTAATAAAATAAATCATCCGTCTTTTTAGGTTTCAGTTCAGAACCACGATCTAGATAGGAAACTCAACGTAAATTCTAGTTTAAATAAAAAAAACATTGCAGAGTCAGAGTATTTCGGAGTACAATGGCGCATGTTTCAAAACAACTCAAAGTTGGCAAGTTTGTAATTAATAAATAAATCTCTACCGACGCAATGGTTCATATTAAAAAAATCCATCAACAGTAATTACGTAAATAATTAGCTACGAGTTATAAAGTCTGTTCGCCTACACTTGTGTTCCCTTCGGCGTGATTAACAACTTTGTATAACGAATGGCCTCTTGGTTTAAAGGTGATTTGTCTTCGTTACTCTTACATATCTAATATTATACGAATATTTTTTCTGGAAGAGCTATTATTAAAAAATATATTTCAAAAAGTTCAGACAGAAAATAACATACTTACTAATAAAAATTTACATTTCTGCCGCATTGGGATATCTAGCTATTTATAATTATAGTTCTATGGAAGCTGCTCATAATAATCTTACTAGTTGGACGAGCCTGTTGGTCTAGAGGTTAGTGACACTGACTGCTAAGCCGGAGGTCGTGGGTTCGATTCCCACCCAGGAAAAATAATTGTGTGATGAGCACGATCATTTGTTCTGTGTCTAGGTGAAATTTATCTATATTTTGTATGTATTTAGAAATATATAAGTATGTTTATCAGCAGTCTGATTACCATAGTACAGGCTCTGCCTAGTTTAGGATCAGACGGCCGTGTGTGAGATGTGTGAAATTATTATATTATTATTAAATGTATATTTACTCACTAGGTATTGTATAATAATAATATAATAGCTTACTATAATACTATATGTACAAGCAAATTTCAGAATTCTGCATTTGTTCCTAGCTGTTCTTTAAAACGTTTTGTTTTTAACCGACTTCAAAAACACAAAAGAGGAGGTTATCAAATCGTCTGTATTTATCTTTTTGTATATTTTTAAAGACTTATTCTCATTAATAGTATTACAGGTTAGGCTTCTTCAGGCTATAAAGGCAACCTGACCAAAATTAAATCGAGATAGATTAGGAAGATTGTTGATTTTAGCAAAAAAAACAAAAATGAAAAAAATGCAGTTCAAAATTAAAAAAACAAAACCGAAAAAAAATACTCAGTGAGGTATCTTAGTCACATATTTAATTATTAGTTAATAAAACCTGCAAATACCTTGGTTATAGGCATCCCCTGGAGGATTAACATTGATTACTGTCAGGTTTTCGCTTCCTAATTGTGTAAACGTTGTGATATACGTCACCTGAAAATAAAGGAAATAATCATTGTTCATCATCATTATCTCAATTCAAACACGTCCACTGCTGGGCATAGGGGCTCCCCCAAAGTTCGCCACAACTATTGGTCCTGCTGCCCGCATTCAACGTCTTCCTAACAAATAAATCTTTTCTTATTTATTTCTTTATTCTTTTTTTTTGTTTTTTTTTCTGCGTTATCTAATCAGGAATGAAGAGATCCGTAGATGAACCAAGATCACCGACATTGCCTGGTGAATTGCCAATCATTGTTTACTTTTTTAGATTTTGAATGAAATTGCAATAATGCCGGTAATGATTCATAACATTGACCGAAGGTCTCCGTAGAGTTAAATAAACCAATAAATCAATGCGTTTATTTTCGGTAAATCAATAGTACCTTTAAGATAATAGAAGATTAGAAATAATAGAAGTTTCTTGAAATTAAAAACCATATAAGATATAAAGCGAGTTTCACGAAAAATATAATTAAAAAAAAAGGATTACTAGTATATGAATACTGATAGTGCACTAAGAAATGAAAGACCAAAATGAATACAACAACTGCATCGGATCTGCATATTACTTCAACCAGAACAGATAGCGGTAAAAGCGAAATAGACTCCAATGGAGTCACATGTAATAAATAAGTATTTTGTATTTCAAAATAATCTAGGAACACAAATATTTATAAACATCAAACAGTAATCCTGCTTTATTTGCTAAACATTCATTTCCAGCTAGTTTCGCTAGTTCGTTCCGCCGGATGTTTCCCTAAGGCATATAAACGGTGTAATACATCATACAATAATACATGATGTCATACATTAGCGACCTGGGAGTAAAACAAATATAGAGAAATAAGAAAACAACTTATCGCTTTTGTATCTGTTCTGTAGTTACATACATTTGTTTTGTACTGACCGTGGTCACACGGTGACTGTTAGTGAGCCTATCACCACAGCCAGTGCTACCAGCAGTCTGGTTACCATAGTACAGGTCCTGCCTAGTTTGGGATCAGATCGTGTATGGGATCAGGTCGTGTATGAGATGTGTGAAGTTATTATTATTACCTGGTTCTAAGGTCAAGCAAAATCGATTGCGATATGCTATGTACAAAGTTTATGCTGTTATATGATTACAGGGGCATTAAATAATTCCCGTGTATGGTATAATATTCGTAAATATTCGTGTGTATGTTAAGTTTCATCGAACGTGAGAGTTTAAAGTTAGTGTTACATTATCATTTTTTTTTTTAAAGACAACTCCCGCATTAGGAATATATTCCTGTGTCGCGGGGGACTTTACAAACATACATGAAACGGACACAAAGAACACCCAGACTCAGAACAACAATTTGTGGATCACACAAAGTGTCGTCCCATGTGGGGTTTGAACCCACAACACTCGGCGTAGTAGGAAGCGGCGTGGCGACCGCTTAAACCACTACGCCATCCGTGCAGTCAAAAATTTGAAGGTCATACTTTTATATACCAGTAAACAAAAAGTGATTACACACACAGTGATACATATAACATGCAATCACGTCTGTAAGGATACCAAGGTAACTGTATTAGTACTGGTCGATTTCTCAAACGCTTTCAATACCGTCAATTACGTTATCCTCTTATCTATCCTTTCCCATCTCATGTGCCATTCCAGTGCTTGGAATGGTTTGTGAGTTTATTAAAAGAGAAAGGTAAGAAGGGAACTACTTCTAGCGGCTGTTCATACAGATGGATTAGGGAGTGTAATAAACAAAAAATGTATCATGAAATTTAAAGTAAAAAGAAAAAGAGTTATATACATTGGTATACTACACTTTAGATAAATATTAAGAGTATTATACTAGATCACCTACTAGAGACCTCTTTTCTAAGGAGAGGCGTATAATAATAATAATAAGGGCCACGTTGTATTGGGATCGATCTATTATCACAGACAGGACTATTGTTGCCAATTAGCCAGATATTGTGGTGATAGATCGATTAGAGCGCCGCGCAATGATTGTTGATATCGCCGTTCCTCATGACGACAATCTCGTAAAAGTTGAATAAGAAAATCAAATCAAATATTTGGATTTATCTCATTCACGTTGGATGGCTGGATCAAGGGTCTGATACAGAAGGCAGTCCTTCTTGACACGGCTCGTATAGAGAGGAGGTTCCTATCTTTGGAGTCCTAACCACCGGTGTCTTGGTCCCTGTACCCGATGTCGGTGGTCTACTATTGTTTATATTTTTAAATATGTATTTTTGAATATTTTTTATAAAGTGTATGTGTAAAAAGGTAAATGTTATGTATATAAAGTAAATAAAGAGAATAATAAACTTTTTATTGCAGACCATGGTGTCCAGCAGTGGACTGTTAAAGGCTGTTGTTGACTAGAGCATGGAATTCGACTAAGCGGATAAACGTGGAAACCGAATAACTGGGAAAAATTTGGAACTCAGGTTTTTTCTGAACATTGTTTTATGGAGATATTATAGACCTATATTCACCGTATGGAACCCTCTCCATACGAGTTCTACCCACTGTTCATCAGCTTGTTTTCACTTTAATTATCCCTAGACTTTTCTTTAGATCATGACCTCTACCCTATCACTTACATTATGGCCTCCTTTTAATAAACTCCGGACCACAGCATCACCAAGCGTGGTATGACTCCTTCCTGGCATAGGAAAAACCACCAACACACTGCCGCACACACACATATGGAAACACGCACATAACAATAGCATAAATTTATACAGCATTATAAAATACTATTGTACTAACGTTTATAAAAAATATTATAAAATAAGAACGGTGTATTTTCTCAAAGGATGCTGGTAAAGATAACTATTGGCACTGAGATGGCACACTAGTGACACACTTTTTCATCTGAATATGAAGCAAAGATAAGACAGTGTCAGTTACTTTTATCTAATCTATAAAAATCTAAGCTCGACTGAATATTTTAGATCTTATAACAATTTTTGTTTTTAATTAATAATAAATAAGTAGTGATGGATTAAGAATACGGAATATCACTACCGCAATTCATCCCGTGAGTGTCGTAAGAGCCGACTAAGGGCGCAAAACAACGCAGGAAACCAGTAAATCAAAAAGAAGGAAAACTTGATACAAACCCTACCAACCCGTCTGTACAGCGTGGTATAGTAGGCCAAAACCTCATTTCTAAGGAAAAGCCTATGTCCAGCAGTGGACTATTAAAAGCTGTAGATGATGAATAATTAAAGATTTTTCACGTGATTAGGAAAATAAACTCCTTACTAGTAAGATCGCTTGCCTTGTTGATACTGAAATTATATGTACATAAGAAAATTCTTTGTATCCCTTATCAAACAAATATGTACTAAAAGTACTATTGGCAATTTTGATTTAAATTGGTGTCGCAATTGGAATCACCACTTTCCAGCAGCCAAGATCAATAGCAAAGTAATTCGTAATGATCTTGCAACACAAAGAAAAGCTCTTCCGACCAGGGTATTGATGTCTGATGTTGGGAAATTGAAAACAAAAATACTTACTATCGTGAAAACTTTCAGCAGCAGCAGTTACTACGCAGTTCAGTTCACCTGCTCTATTTGGTGTCGAGGAATTATTTTACTGCATATTAATGTTGCTATATCAGTCAATTCAGGTAAAAATATACATCATTTATTATTTATCTCGTGTGTCTAATGTAAAAATAGAATAATAATTATAATAAAACAACATAACGTCTACATAGTCCTCATAGTCCTCTTCACGACTGGTATCATTCCAAACTATCTTCTCATAGCTTAAAACAATTAGGTTTATCACAATTCGCTTATGTAAGTTTACAGGAAGCCTCTATATTAAACACATGTTGGATTGTCAGAACATTCATGCAGTTAGATGACACCTCACCAACATAATGTACACACCATTATGCTGTTTTTTCCTGGGTTAGGCCCGTAAATACGGTGGAACCAGCTAAAAAGCTGAGAAAATAAAAATTAAAGCCCAAAATAATAATAATAACATTGTACCACATTCACACAACGCCATGTAGTCTCAAACTAAGCAGAGCTTGTACTATGGCTGTTACACAACTAATATAAATACATATATATTATATATAGACACACCCTAACCAAATCAAACATTAAATGTTCATGCACACAAATGTTTGACTTGAGCGGGAATCACAACAACTCAATACAATTCATAACTGTCACAATGGTGATAAACAGTGATGTAAAAGTAATGAATGTCACCGCTATCACTACGAGATAGCAGCGATGACAGATCACTCGTGGAAGTAACTATTTATGTTATCAGACTGTTAAACTTATGTAAGCAGTTCATGACAAGAAATCACCTCTTTGTTCAAATGTACAATTTTATTACATACTAGCATATCATATCATAAATACTATCAAGCCCCTGCCTTTTTCTACCTGTGGCCTTTTTTTTCTGTGCGGACCTACCTGTGGCTTTGTCGGACTCGAACCGACTAAAAACCGCACGCCATCTCGGGTACCAGTAGCCGGGGAACCAGGTGTACGCTATAAAGGAAATCCCTGGTACCCCGACGTACCTCGGGCCACCTACGCCACGTAGATGACCACCTCCTGTGTGGGAACCCCTATGTCCCCTTTGTGCTCCGGAAAGGGCGCGTGCGCTTCACAGCGCGTCTCGCGACCACCGGGCCTGCTTCTGCTAGGGTGACTGACTATCAAGCCCCTTTCTTTTTCTACCTGTAGCCTATGTCTATCTAAATATCAAAGTATTCTTCAAAATTCAGTTCAAGATTCTGCAGTTTAGGTATCCAAAAGTAATACACAAACAGAGTTATTTTCAAATTTATGATACGAAACATACGATAATAATATGTCAGAATTTGCATACCGGATATTAGAAAAGTACTGAAACAGCAGAATAATTCGTTAGGGATGCATTTCTTCGGAAATACGTTAAACACAAAAGCTCTGTTTAAAGACAAAGAACAATTGAGTAACAAGTAACAAGAGTAATTTAATATGTAAGTAAACTGTTCACTTACATAATAAATTACACAAAATAAATTAGTTAAGTATCTCTGTGATCACAATACACTATACAGTAATATAAGAGTGGCCATGAGTTTGTTTGCCCTTTCTTCTCATAAGGCTCAACCCCTTGGAAACGGGCGGTTGTAGATCGGCACAGGCATATCATAGATTTTGTATGGGTTTGATTTTGTTAAATTTATTTGGTTACTATTTGACAAAACAGAGATTGTTGCTTTTGTGTGTGTTGATCTATGACTTTAGAGTCTACATGGAAGACGATTTCAAACAATTTTGGAAATTTTATGAAATAAAGAAGGTTTGAGTTGAGTTTGAGTATAAAACTAAGGATGTGAAGGTAATTTTATTGGTGTCAGTACTTTTTGCAATGTAACCTTCTAAACTCTTTTTAAATTAAAATAAGCCATCACTCTACTCTACTGGGGTCCTGGGTCCGGGACAGCTCAAATCGGATATATGGGTGATCTGAGAGCGTCTAAACCTTTTCCAGGACAAACCAGTTCCTTTGACCTAGATCGCAACCTTGAGATAACCTTCAAGGTTGCGATCAAGGTCAATTTCAAGATCACCAATGGACAGCCAGGGAAAATTCATGGGAATTATTCTGCTCCTCCGGTACTTTTCTAACTCCCTGTATATACTTTTGAATAAGTACACTTTATAAATACGAAATTTTTATTCCTCCAGTCACAAATACCAATTTCAAGATACAGATTTTCAAAATTTCTAATGTAACAACGCCCATTTATCAGTCATCCTATATTTCAATTCAGTTTCAATATTCCTAATAATTCCCAATAGCATGTCAATGGAATGACAGTGGCTTGACGTTAACATAAAATAGCAGAATTGAGGCCCAGGTCAACATTTTTCAAGTATATATATTGTTCTTTCAACCTTTGGTTTGGTTAGTGATAGTTAATGATATGCAAAAATTCATCTACTAGCTACCATCGTATTAAGACACGATAATAGACAATTTTGAGTGTATATTATGTATTTGATAAATAAAAAACATAATATAGCCTTAATACAGCTTGTATACCTAAAAAAAAATGAAGGTATTAATGAAAGGTTTTATTATGAGTACAACGTAGCACACTTTATTTTCTCAGTTAATTACCGGTACAACAAAGGGACGAGGCTCTGTTTAATGGAAGCTTTTAAATTCAATCATTATTTAGTACCTCAGAGGAAAGAAGATCTCAATTTACTTACATTAAAATGTAACGTGAAAACAAAGTTAAAATGGTTAGCATTGTAAAATTAGCAGATACAATTACCTTAAATGCTGTTGAAATTTTAATTTTTAAAGACTTAGAAGTGTTAGGTCGTAATTAAATAAAATTAAAGTTTGAACCTTTTAAAAAGTAAATTCTAACAATAAATTAAGTGAGAGAAATAACGTATAACTCAAACTCAAAATATCTTTATTTCATACCAAAACTTTAAAAAATTTGAACATCGTCTTTTATGCAGACTTTGAAGTTTTAGATCAATACACACTATCTCTGTTTTGTCAAATATTTGTCAAAATAAAAAAAATCCTATCGAAAATCTATTATATGCCTGTGCTGATCTCCAACCGTTGCCAAGGGGTTAAGTCTTATGAGAAGAAAGGGCAAACAAACTCACGACCAGTACTATGATGTCATTACAAGTCAATAAGGTCGACACTCATACCGATTTTTTTTTACTTTGCTTGACATAAATATTTTGATTTTATATAATGTTTCTGCATGCCACTATTCTGGTAAAAAATATTTGTATCCTCTACTACCCATTGTAACACCATTTGTAACAATATTTTTGAAAATAAATATGATTCTGATTCTGAACTGACTTGACTTGACTTTGTTGCACATAATATGTGATTCGAATCATAATTGTACCGCACCATTTTCTACCGTACTTCCGCAGCAAAAAAAAATGTTATTACTAATATTACTTCTTGTAATTAAATTTCGACTAGTTAGTACTAGTTTTCACATTCAGAGATGTCACTTCCTACAGCTCACATTTATTCTTTAGCTTACTGCCATCTCAATAACTGACCTGGCCAATTGTCCATTCATCTTGGGCTGAGCGTTCGTGAATGACGTCCGTCGTGCTTCGGTGTCAATTGAAACCTGTCGCAATCACTTGGCGGTACGACATAAAACATAGCCTGTACCGTTAAATAATTCTCCTCTATAATTTTTAATAAAGTATCTGCATGATATTTAAATCAATCAAAAAATCAAATATAAAAATGCAGAAATTAAAAAAGGCAAATAAAATAAAAAGTTTTGTTAGTGGTGTTTTCATTTATTAAAAAAATATGGTGTTTAGTGGGCTGATTCAAATGGCCAGTGTTATGCTTCACCCTTGATGAAGAGCGCCCTTAAGGTACTTTGGAAACTTTGGGTACAACAAGAAGTGCGTTTTCAATGACATAATTGAAAACCCTCAAAACATACCATAGCAATAACAATAATAGACAGATTAATCGCAGTCACTCTTACAGTCCTCTCGTTGACAACAAGTATATTTCTGAAAAATAAGAGAGCTCTGTTATACAATTATGGAGGTATAAGTGATGTGTCTCAACAAAGGGAGTTTTTTTTGCGGTATAAGGGGGCAAACGAGCAGACGGGTCACCTGATGGTAAGCAACTACCGCCGCCCATGGACACATGCAACTCAAAAGTCACAAGTGCGTTGCTGCCCTTGGAATGGGGGATTTGGTCTTCGGTAAATTCACTCACTCAGTGAAAGGCAACGAAAGAATTGCTTAACACCGGTTTTCTGTGAGGCCGTGGTATCACTCAGGTCGCGCCGGCCCATTCGTGCCGAAGCATGGCTCTCCCACGGTATCCAACCGGGAGGTGATCGAAATCCAATCTTGTGTAGAACTCATTAAATAAAAAATATACTTAGAGATTGGTTCGCAACTAGCGAACATTTCGCAAAGCTTGCACAAAAAAAATCTGTCCAATTAAGAAGCTTTTCCTGTTAAATATATTCTTAATATCTTTTTATCTTTTTTTAATAATCTCATAAAAATGGCTGTAATAACATTTAATCATAATTATGAAGTCTCCAAGGTTCCTTTATCCTGCCGTAAGTATAACACAAGTGGGTCAAGGTGAGCTCGTACTCTAGAGAGGCTATGTATGGAGCATCGAACAGTGGGCTTTTAGGGTTTTGTGTTGATTAAAGATGTATTTATTCAATAAAAGGTAAGAGAAACTTGGGAAAACATACATTTCTAAGTGTACATGAGATAGTTCACAATGCCTCTATTCTTGCAATATCAATGTCATTGACAGTTGACGGGCCTGTTTTTCTAGTGGTTAGTGACTCTGACTGCTAAGCCGGAGGTCGTGGGTTCGATTCCCACCCAGGACAAATATTTGTGTAATGAGCACGATCATTTATTCTGTCTGGGTGTAATTTATCTATAATATGTATGTATTTAGGAATATATAAGTGTGTTATCATCAGTCTGGTTACCATAGTACAGGCTCTGCCTAGTTTAGGATCAGATAGCCGTGTGTGAGATGTGTGAGGGTATTATTATTATTTAAAACGTAAAAGCACTGGAGCAGTACTTCAAAAAAACAGTAATTACTTTTATTTAAATGGGAACTGCATGTTTTCTCATGGCCAAATTAGGACCGTTTCAAAAGAAAATTATTATCGTGTTTAAACAGAAACAAATAACCGACCTATCCAAATGTTATCCCTTTTTCATCAAAGCGTAAATGTTTGAGGCCTGACGTGATCGAATGAAAGCAAAGGTAATACATCAATGAAATTAACTCGATCAAACCAATTTTACCTCGAAACAAGAGGACTTTTTATTGACGTAATAATTGATTAAGTGCTACGTAAACCCTCACGTCTTTAACATACTTGTAAAGTGATGTGACTACCACATAACGTCTTTTAGCTTCTTCTTTAGCCACTTTCTTATGGTATAGGAAGCCACCGAGCAGACGGGTCACCTGGTAGGAAGTCACTACCCATGAACACCTGCAACCCACGAAACACGCGGGAAAGAGTGGTGCTCAACATCCGGTAAACTTTTTGAAAAGTATCTTCCTTCTTCCTACTTTTTCCCAAACTAGGTTAGAGTCGATTTTAAATCTACTACGATACGGCTATCCTTCGATTTTTAACGGTGAGCGACTGTCATTAGACATTTACAATCCAAGTAATAGGAGATATCGAAGTTCTGTAGAAATAATGTGGTCAGCCTTTTTTGGGCTGCAACTACCCGTAACGTTGCACAAATGTTGGTATGGCAACCGGGAGTGACGGCTTATCGTGCTCTCCAAGACACGGAGGGGCCTCAATATGTTAAGAAATGGTCACCCATCTATAGACTGGATCCGAATGAGTTAACCTACTCGGTTTCTTTTAATTAATGTTAATTTAGCCACGAGCTTCTCGAGCCCACGAGTCACAAGTAATAAAAGAATATCTGTAAGGTTTAGATAATTTTATTTTGTTTTGCTATTAATCAATTATTGAAACAGTGTTTTGCTATTTAACTATTTTGTGTACTTAAATAATTTATTTTGCCATTTGACTGGCATTCCAGGAAAACACGAATTAAAAATGACAAAGAAAAAAAAATGGAACTTTGCCATCTCTATTGTGTCCAACTTTACAGCAGTCTAAAAGGAAGTCGTCAATAAGTCCTCAATGGAAGTTAAAGCTGATTCAGCTGTATCTAGGGTGACTATTGTTACCATAATGAGTTGTGCAATATTCACACAATATTTCTACTTCTTTCATTTGTGTATATTAATATTGACGAAGCAAATATATATCAATAAGCCTTTATTGAAAATAAAAAAAACCTTTTTCTATTTTAATTAAGATGAACAACAAACAGCCATATTGACTAATAAAAGTTGACTAAATATTGACTAATAAAAATTGGAATTTTTATTTATTGCAAAAAATAAAGGCTCTGTGGGCTCAATGGCCACAGAGCCGTTCACATTTTGTCTTGTGAGATAAACACAACATGTGAAAGGCTTTGTTTGCCCCTTTTATCTTAAAAAAACTAAACTGATATATTTATTCGCCGAACACATAAACATGACAATATTGATAATGTATTCTAGTACAAAATACCCCGAATAGTAAAAAGTTAATGAACACAATAGTTAATCATAATTCATATACATTTTACTATATAGTATTGAAGCCGGTGACATTTTTTTTTTAAAGATTATTTGTGCATTATTTATTCAAATTATATTTAGTTTATTTTTGTTTTTTTTTCTCGGCGTATGAAAAAAGTTTCGTCTATTATCCTAATGGTAATAAATTACATAATTCAGTTACCTTCACAATTTTATTACATAATCAATAATTTCGGACGGTAAAAACAGTCTGTTAGTGCCAAAAAAATAACATATTGATAATGATAATTATGATTGCACAAACATACATTTAGATCAGACGAGATATGATTTCAGTTGAATTGTGTTGGTCTAAGGAAATGATATATAATTAAATAACTCTGCTTCATGACAATCACATGAACAATATAAAATGTAAACGAGCGATGTAATACAGACATATAATATATTTATAAAATATTTATGTTTCATACTGAACTGTATTCGATGTGCACGGATAGGCAGTCACACTGTACTTATTTAGGAGTTGTCGTTGTGTAGCAATGATACTCTCTGATCTGTTCGCCATTATGTCAACGTTGGTTCTTATTATTTTTATTTTCTGTATTCTGTGTGATTTGGTTGCTGTAAGTATTTGGATAATTTATTCTTTTATACCTTTTTTCTTAAGTAGTATTCAAGTTTTTATTTCTAATATGTACATGGATATTTTTAAGTATCCTGGAAATAAACCGATACATTATGGAAATAATAACTATATTATTGAATTTAAATCACCGTTAATTGATCTGTAATCAAATATGGCAAGCACTTTAAAGAGTTATTAATTATATTATTAGGGATTCGTATACCCAAAAGGAAAAAACGGAACCCTTATCATCACTGTGTTGTCCGTCTGTCAAGACCCTTTATCTCGGGAACGCGTAGGTAGAGTTATCGAGTTAAATTAAACCATGTACTCAAATCTACGGTCCCTTGAAGCTTAGAAAAAGTCAAACTTAATAAAAGATTAAGTTAACTTAATAAAAGATACGGCAGTTTATGCCGCATAAAACGTATATTTCGACACTCTCGAGGGAATATAATTAATAGGGTACTTCCCGTTACCCTAGAACTATAAAATTTGGCAAGTAACATCGTCTTATACTACAAGTCCATTGTAATTAAATCATAAAAAATAGTCTTTACTTAAAGTAGCTAATCAATCATCGACGTACAATTTCACTTTTAAAATACAATCATCATCATCAACAGCCTTTAATAGTCCACTGCTGGACATAGACCTCTCCTTAGAAAGGAGGTTTTGGCCTACTATACCACGCTGGCCAGACGGGTTGGTATAGGATTTGTGTCAAGTTTTCCTTCTCTCTGCAGTGCTGGTGTTCTGCGTAGTTTTTTTCCCTTAGTCGACTCTAAAATAGAATAATAGAAGTAATTATAGGTTTCGGAAACTATATATGTATAGTACCAAACTGTATTATGTTAGATTATATTAAATATACAGTTTAATAAGTCAGTCACTTTATTTAGATAAAGTAGTAAGATGTTACATTTGAACCCGAAAGTATGTTATTTTCCACATTACTTAAATTAACAAAACTAGAAGTGGTATTAAACTAAAGAAGGAAAACCCTTTTTAATAAAAAAAGAAATTTTGTAATCGGTTTACAAATGAAAGAGTTTTTACAAAAGTAACAAACATGAAAGTGATTGCGTAGCAAACTTGTTTTTTTTTGTCTAAATGTTTTGTAATTTAATTTATTACTCTCTTGTGCACATATCTCTGTGTAACATACACCAACTGTATATAACATGTACACCTAACAAATATTTTTTATTTTAAATCTTTTTGTACAAGTACATGCATCGGCGGACTTAATGCCTAAGGCCTCATTTACGGAGACGCGGGGCGTTGTGCGTCGCGTCTCGCGGCGCGTACGACGTTTTTTGTGTTTACGAAGAGGCGCCGCGTGAAGCGGTAATATACGACGTTGCTCATAGAGATACGAGACCGGAATAGTGGCGGTGCATCGCTGCAGCGTACGCGGCGGGCCTCACTGCGGCGCACGCGGGGCAGGTACTCAATCAAAAATCAAAACTAGGAATGGAATAAAAACACAATCACATGTGATTAATCATTTGATTTTATATCATGTAATCAGACCTCTGCTAATTTACAAAACACATGTGACAAATTATTATTATTACGATAGCGTCAGTCAGTCAGTTTATTTATTTAATAATCATAACCTCTTTCTCTTATTGACCTTTAAAGAGTTGCATACTCTCCAAACTTCTCATGTTCCGTTGCTGTAAACACTGGGCCACTTCTTATGTTAAATAATTCACTTTTTAACATAGAATTTTCTTCTGAAAAAAAGTCGATCATATCGTTCTCGATTTCAAACAAACGCGCGCAAAAACGCTTCTCCGTAAACGCACTCATACAACGCCATATGTTTGAATTTAATGCGGGCCGCGCCGCACAACGCGACCCCCCGCGTCTCCGTAAATGAGGCCTAAGGCATTCTCTGCCAGTCTTCCGATTGGGCGATGCTGAGAAAGAATGAGGTGGGTGCATTTATGGGGGGGGGGGGGGTAATAAATGATAGAGGTTTTCTTAAATACCAACTATTTTAGAATATGGTGTAGACATCTAAATACCACACTCATGCATATATAAATGAACATACACATATACACACATACACATATATATTCATATATCTAAGAGCTTAAGCTAGAGCGAGAACTAAGAGCTTGTTGAATCTGCCATTTCACTTAGCAAAAGCTCTTTCAGTTTCGTCCTAAAAGAGTACTGACTTCGAGGCGCATTCCACCCAGTGGTGTGAGAAGGACAGAGGAGAAGGAGATGGTTGACCGAACGAAGGTTTATGTTGTGGTTGTTGCATAACAGTTGAAATTGTGTTGTTAAGTAAGTAGGAGAGGAAGGGGAATTGAGGATAGTGTACATAATTGTGAGTGCGTGTATTTTCCTGCGTTGACGAATAGGTAACCTTAGTCGCAGAACGACCTCCGTCCTCCATAAGCGCAGGCCTGGGGGTGACATGTGAGGCCATCTGTCACCCTATCAGAAGCAGGCCGAGATGGCGGCGAGCGCGTTGCGAAGCGCGCTCGCTTTCAGGGAGCAGAGGGAACATGGGGTTCCCACACGGGGGGGGTCGTCTACTTGTTGTAGATGGCCCGAGGTATGTCGGGGCACCAGGGACTTCCTTTTTAGGGTATACCTGGTTCCCCGGCTATTAGTACGCGAGGCGGCGTGCGGTTTTAGTCGGTTCGAGTCCGACATGCCACCGATAGGTGGTATCCGAGGGGATTTCCGCACGGAAAAAAAAGGGGAATTTTGGCTCGCCAAGTAATTGACTGTGACATACTTGGTTTGGTGATCTAAATGAGTAGACGTGGAAAAATGACACTTAATATTATCCAAACCAACTATCTCTGACTGGTTAGCAGGTGTCTGTTTACCAACACCTAGCGTTCCAAGGAACTTTCAGATGTGGGCTGGGAAGGAACTAGCGATGTTGTCGAGGATATAATGTTTGGCATTGGGTATCATCTGATTACATCGGTTCCTTGCAAGTTTTTACAGATTTCACTTTTCATCAGTGCGACCCTTTCTGAGCCTACAGAAAGCCCTGTCCCTTCGCCCCATAGCCGACAGAATCTCCTTTGTTATCCACGGCGTAGATGGACTCCTGAGTTTAATTTTCTTGAAAGAATAAAACAAGGTCAATACATGATTAGATTTTTGAAACAGATTTTTCCTCAGAACTTCTAAAAGTCAAGGATCCTTCCATCATCAGATCGGCAATATGGCATAACGACTACTAAACGCAAATACCTATAAAGCAAGAGAATTAAGCTAAAACACGTTGTCGGGGCTGTAAAATTTGAGAGTTTTCTTCGATTTCTCTAGAATCACATCATCAGATCCTGATTAGGTGGTAATGGGACTACCTGGGGAGCATGTCCTTTCGATTACAAAAGAATTTTAGAAAACGGTTCTTAATTAATGGAGATATAGCGTAACAAACTGACAAAAAAATACAGACGAATTGATGACCTCCTCTTTTGTGTTTTGGAAGTCGGTTAATAATCATGCTTTGTTTAACTAATTATGTATCTACTCTTAGAATATTTAAAGAATGTACCTAATATTTCGTATGCGTATCGGCGGGGCATAGCTTGTACTTAATAACATTGACATCCATAACCACCCATGTATCACAAATTAAATATTTAAATGAAATGAAACCTTATCCGTTAAAATGGTTTCATAAAACGAAAAAAAAAAACTGATGAATTCAACACATTTCTTACTTTTTTAACATGTGTGAACCTTCGGGTGATACCTCATCGTTGTTATTGATGAGGCAATATTTCAGAGCTGATCCGGCTGAAACCGTACGGTGAGCCATAGACACTTTTATCACATGTCACAATTCGATTCAATATTCCTTCATATCTGTACCGATTCAACAAGGCAACACAAGTTTCAATACGCATTTCTTTCTGCAGATCAGTCAAGGCAAGGCAGGTGCCTCATGATTTCTTTTCTTACTTTTCATATTTTTTTATCTTATTGATTTGATGCAAATGAATCAATATTAAAGGTAGGGTAACGTTAAATCATGCCGGTAATTCCTGGGTAGTTTGACTCGGATCGGCTTCAACCATCACCTTCAATTCAGCGTTATTCACCTGTGGATCTCCTCTCTAAAGTCGCGTTAGTTCCGATGCGGAACTCGTATTAAAAATGACTCAGATTTTCGAAGTATCCATCTTTCACATGTAAGCTGAATAAAAAAAAACAATTAAAAGATGTTGCACATTTTTTTAAAGATGAACCTCATAAAATTAAGGTTTTATTTCAATTCAAAGTATCTATTAATATACAACGGCAATTTCATACTTTAACCCCTATTATTTCCACCTTTAGATAAAGAAATTGGATCAGGCAGGCGCGGTCGTTAAATTCTGCGATCCTGAGTACATTATCAATTGCAAAGCTATCACTAGACGAAGACGGAGACAGGAGCCGTATTTGACGAACTTGACAGCCACCACACTGCAACCCTTTTACAACAATGTTACGGTATGTTTAGTTTACCAATAGGTAGTGGCCATAAACCTTGATCAAGTTTCTCCAAAGAGTGATAAATTTTTGTTCACTTGTACCCAAGATATGTCCACCATTATTATACCTTTATGAAGCAAGGCCTGGTGCTGAGAAGTAAGGCCGACTAAGTAAGTTATCAAGCCATTTCAGGCCGTGACCGAACGCTTTGTATTAATCTTGTAGAAATAGGTACCTACTAGTTGTTGGAGTCAGGAGTTACTCGTTTTGCCTTTGGTAGATAACAACAAAAAATTCGTTTTTCCTTGTGCTGTTCACACCAATTATACTTTTTTTAATAGCTTTAAAGAATAAAAGAATGTATTTCAATCAAAACTATTAAAACAATGGGTTCTGTTTTGTACACGTATATTTTTTTTTCAGATTGTAGTTTCATTTAATCCAGAAAAGTACGGTGATATGTTCACTTTAAAAATAAAAATGTGTGATATGATCAAAGTAAAATGGTTGGAGCAGTACCTGAGCAAATACTCTGATGTTCCCATAACCTGTCCAGTACCTGCAGTAAGTCTGAAAATAATCATGAAAGTTTAGTTCTTTTTTAAACAGCGTGTGTATAAGTTTTTGTTACGCTGTTCAACTGTTATTTGAATTTTTCAAAAGACAACAATTATTAGAAATAAAAAAATTATAGATAGCTCTGGTGATACGTGACCACCGCCACCGCCATGGATACTTGCAACTTACAGAGAGTTCTTTTTTTAAGATGGGACTAATCCCACCCACACGCCCACCACTGTAACTCCTGTACACCAGGATCCACAGCAGTGACCCACGAACACACCGAGTTATGACACTCGGGAAGTCCCAGGAAGAAATTACAGAGAGTTCACAAGAAGTGTCACACGTGAGAGTCACTAGTGTTACAGTCTCTTCCCAAGAATCAGGATCAGAATGTGAGGTCGTGGTATCAGTCCGATCTCTCACTCCTCCAGTTGAGCTCAATTTTTGTGAGCTGTGGCCTTCATCGGTAGTATACTGGGTGTGGTTCGAACCCACTACTGTTCGATCCTAAGCCTGACATGTTTTAGGTATTTAAATTCAAAATATTCTGACGTTATGTATGTTTTCATAAAATTCGTTTCAGGGTAGTTATAATATATTCAATATGGAGTTTCCCCCGAAGAACTTTCCCATGCCGCTACCAAATGAAGACATAAATTTGAGACTGCTCATGGAGGTGACAGAAACTAAACACTTAATATCTCACTGTGAAATAAAACTGCACTCGTGAACCTCTGTCCGAATATTAAAATATGTCACAACAGGTATCGATTGCTTTACATGAGACTAAATAGAACCATTTAATAACTTTTCTTCATTTTTTCTTATTGACGACGTGAAATTGTTTGTGGATATGGGAATTTCTATATCTTTTGTACATATTAAATGTGGGATTGTCTATTGGTCGAGACTTATAGTAATTAATTAAATTTTGTTTTTATTTTGTTTTATTTATTGCCAGTTTTTCCGCAGTACAATTAGAAATATTATTGTATATACTTCTATACATACCATGAAAACTCAACGTATATACTAGATGCGTATAGCTTTACATAACTCATAGCAATTTTCATGTATTTTATTTCTGGGCAGGGGGAGGACTCAAGGGGGTTAACGGGGGTACATGGACAGTGGTAGTCATTTACCATCATTAAACACCATAAATCATAAAACACATTAAAATAATTCCTTATCCCATACTTTGTCGATGTATAAACTTTTCTAATTCATAAAGTTCATCTATATGCACACACTAACTAATGTCACCTATCCTGCACTGAGAACAAAGTAGTTCAAATATGTATTAGTTTTATTTTCGAAAGGAAAATTGGAAAAGTTTTCGCTTCTGTCAAAGCGGGCACTGCGGGCGGGTTAGATGAATTTTACCGACCCGACGTATCGAACCTCACTTGAACTGACGTATCAGATTGCCTCTAGGAGACAAGGTTTTGTCTTTGGCTTACAATATATTTATAGACTATTTCGATACCTGCTGTATTGTTTACGGTCCATACTCATAATTTCCAAAACAGAGTTACTTGATGGGGTTTTCAGCACAAATAAAAAATGTTGAACCTTCTGCGCTATATCACTTAAGCCGGTGTCAATTGGAAATGGTATCTTGTAAAAGAATGGATAATAGGCGCTATAAACGATGATTGGTCACAAAAAAATACTTTCAAAAGTCTTTAATATCTATAAGCGTAATTAGTGTTCTTATGTCTTGATTTTGGAAGCATTTTTACGAGATGTGTGGCCGTTGATAAATTAGGTCAGTGTCATAAACATGGTAAGTTAAGAGGTTACAATTTCGACTGTTCCTTTATAGTCCAGGCACGTTGAATATGGAGAACAAAAAAAATTTATCCAGAAACCTACGTTTTTAAATGGTTAAAAGGGTTAAAGTCAACATAAGGAAAATGTGTTATGTGCCCAAGAAAGTTAGGGGATGATTTGAGGGGTTGAAAGGGGTGAAAATGGATACATCTCGTGTTTTTTGCAATTTCACGCGAAATTTGATGTCCTTCTGAAAAATGTTAAATACAAAAGTTGTAGATCTTGGAAAAATCTACAACTTTTGTGGGTCATTTTTTAATATAACCTCAAAATTTCAGAAAAAAATGCATTAAATCAAAAGAAAATATTTTTTTTGTTTTTTACTTGTCAATTTCTCAAAAATAAATATTTTTTAACGAAACTTGCTGAAAGTACTCCTTTTTGTGTCCCAAACAACAACAAAAAAATTTTAGATTGAAATATTAAAAACTGTTTGAAATATTCATTTTTTTCGGTCCGAAACACGTTGTTTTCAAAGTTACATTTTACTACTTACAATCATCGTAGAGAGGTCATACAGGGCTCATTTTTTTCGTTTCGACGTCTGCTTTTTAATGAAATAATAAAACAATACAGCTTCCATTTAAAAACATGTCTAAAAATTGAAAAATATAAAAAAAATAATTTTGCAAAAACAAATTTTTTGGTTATTGTTAATAATTTGTTATAAATAAAGAAAAAATACAAAAACTAATAAGACCATTGAATTGTACGGGAAAAACACGAAGAAACATGTTTTCCTATTTAAATACATTTTTTATTTTTGTACAATACTATAAACATTGTAATAGCATATTCCGTGTAGTTGAAAGATGTCAGGTAAGTACATACAATGCGATCGACTTTTACTTTAATAAGAAAAGTTCCTCATTTCTCGCGATGAAATTAATTAATTCAATTATTTTCTACATATTTTGATAAATAAATCGTCTTATAATTAACTTTTGTATACAATTATTTAAAACATGCTTTTAAATAATTGAATGATTTTTTTAAAATGAATTCTGAATCTAATTTAACTTGCACCGAATTTATAATTGAAATTTATATCAACAAAATAGATTGTTAACAATACTACTACTAATAATAATAATAATAATAAAAAAATAATGGAGGTAAATGACAATAATGAAAAACTCAATTTTAATCAAGTTGATTTTTTAATGAAATATGCTCAAGTACTGATAAATATGATACATTTACACTTTATTTACATAAATATTATACATTTATTATGCGATTTATTACATATTTAATAATGAATACTAAACCAATTTTTGTCTTTTCGCTAATTGTAAGTTTGGCTGATCATCATCGATTAATTGTTCGTCGAAATATGTGACTTCCTCATTATCTTCAATCGTTTCTTCATCAAATTCCTCTGGAAACTTTTCCAGTCGAAGTCGAGTCGAGTCGAAGTCGAGTCGAAGATAATACTTGGTTGTTCAATTTCATCAGGATTATCAGAAATTTCATCAAAATCACTTAAATCTTTTGAAACTTTTTCAACGTTTGAACAACTTTCAGAACCATGGCATTTTGTGCATAACTCTGTGCATCGCAACCCATGCTATCTGCAACCGCATCTATTGCCCTCACATCCAGTCTCACAACTGCAACAAATTATCTTAAGTAACTCATCTGGAATAAGTGAGTCATCTGTATAATGTGGCATAAGTAGTTTTGTATTATTTACAATCACTTGTTTCCAGACCCATTTCGTTGCTTGTAATGTATGTCCAAGCCACATTTGTAGTTGGAAGTATACTCTGTACGAGTGTTGAATTGCTCCTCCAACAGAAGGGGGTAATTTTTCGAATTTAAAAGTCGACTTTGCAGTTAATAATTTAAACTGTGTAAATCTTAAATCATCCAGTGGTATTTTAGATTTTTTTGATTGATAAATCGATGCAATCAGTTTACAACCATTTCGAGCAATGACTTTGGGATCTGCATTACTTTGATAAAAGCGCAGTGCTAATTCTTTTAACTCAGGAGTATTAATCAACGAATTAAAACTCGTTGTTTTTCCTTTGCCAGCAAAAGTGGATGTTGTATCACATCCAGTAAAACAATGCAGAAGAGCAACAATTGAATTAATTAATTTCATCGCGAGAAATGAGGAACTTTTCTTATTAAAGTAAAAGTCGATCGCATTGTATGTACTTACCTGACATCTTTCAACTACACGGAATATGCTATTACAATGTTTATAGCAGTATTGTACAAAAATAAAAAATGTATTTAAATAGGAAAACATATGTTTCTTCGTGTTTTTTCCCGTACAATTCAATGGTCTTATTAGTTTTTTTTTTTATTTATAACAAATTATTAACAATAACCAAAAAATTTGTTTTTGCAAAATTATTTTTTTTATATTTTTCAATTTTTAGACATGTTTTTAAATGGAAACTGTATTGTTTTATTATTTCATTAAAAAGCAGACGTCAAAACGAAAAAAATGAGCCCTGTATGATCTCTCTACGATGATTGTAAGTAGCAAAATGTAACTTTGAAAACAACGTGTTTCGGACCGAAAAAAATAAATATTTCAAACAGTTTTTAATATTTCAATCTAAATTTTTTTTGTTGTTGTTTGGGACACAAAAAGGAGTACTTTCAGCAAGTTTGGTTAAAAAATATTTATTTTTGAGAAATTGACAAGTAAAAAACAAAAAAATATTCTTTTATGATTTAATGCATTTTTTTCTGAAATTTTGAGGTTATATTAAAAAATGACCCACAAAAGTTGTAGATTTTTCCAAGATCTACAACTTTTGTGTTCAACATTTTTCAGTAGGACATCAAATTTCGCGTGAAATTGCAAAAAACACGAGATGTATCCATTTTCACCCCTTTTCAACCCCTAAAATCATCCCCTAACCTTCTTGGGCACATAATACATTTTCCTTATGTTGACTTTAACCCTTTTAACCATTTGGAAACGTATGTATCTATATAACATTTTTCTTTTTTTATCTCTGTAAATGAGTCAATGTGCCTGGACTATTATTAACTATTTTCAGTTTCAATAACATAGATAGTACTTACAATAAGTATAAAACGCTTCAACATGTTAGTAGAAATGAAAGGTAGACTTTATAAAGAATGCTTCTCTGATCGGGAAGCTGATGGACCGCGAAAATAAAAAATATATATAAATATCGTTGTACGAACATGTTTATATAATCAAGTTCGTTTATTCATCTGATCCTTCGTCAAAAATATCATAGCCATATACATAGCCTTACCATGACTAGACATGGGTACGCAATTCTGCCCTTTGAGTTTGTTTGCCCTTTCTTCTCACAAGGCTCAACACCTTAGAAATAGGTGGTTGTAGATCAACACAGATTTGCTAATGAATTGAAATCATTTCGATAAATATTTGACAAAGAGATTGTTGCTATTTTGTGTTTATCTATGACTTAAGAGTCTACATAAAAAAAAAATTCAAATAATTTCATTTTTTTTTTATAAAAATATTTTGACTTCCTGTTGCCCCATCCAAGAGTTAACCCAGAGAGTGGTTTCCCTCATACTTACCGAAATTACCTACTTACCCATCTAAACACAATAATATTTTCGTGGAGAGTTGGGGCAGCCAGCCAGGCTTTCTTTTATGACCTACCTGACTGCATTATGACTTCAAATTAAATTCTGCCACGCTTTGGCACGTTGTGGTTGCATTGATCAGCAAAACTGACGTGACAAATAGATAAGAACAATATTTGAAGCGGTTTCTAATCGTGTCGAAATTTGAGCTCAATGGGTGCACAACTTTTTGAGTTTTTGAAGTGTACATAAACCAACATAACCCATACTTATATGTTTGTTAGACTTACAACCATAACTATTTAACCAATTTTAAAATTTCTCTCACCAATGGAAAGC